CTGAAGGTTCTTTGGTGTGAGTGTTGTCTTCTTGAAGTATTGATGTCTCTGATAGATTTACAATGCAAATTCTTCAGCGATCACTGAACATACTTAGTGATGATCGCTGGAACTGAAAAGACAGAAACATAAATACAACGTATAAGTGATAAGAGATTATCATCAAATCACTGAGAGAGATGATCAACAGATCATCCTAAATCTAAGGACATAATATAAAAATATCTCATTCTTACAACGGATACAAGGTGATAACTATAGACTTATATATCCCTAATGTGGGCCATTTAAGTACTTTATGGTTCTGGTTGAAGTTTCGACATTATAAACACATGTATTATTGTCCACACGAAATGTTGCACTCCTAGCACCGACTATAATTTAAGGGCTCACCACCTTGATTATCTAATCAAGTCTAAGTGACTTGGTAATGCTAGAAAATTTCATCATAAGGATTTGATGATTATTACATGTGTATTGGAATTGATAGAGATCATCCTACACCCCTAATGTGTATATATAAAAATGGTCTTGTAGAAGCTGCCATTAAAAGGATATAGATGGAAGCTAGACATCGGTTATGCGCACCAATTTACATATATCTGCCTAAGATTATGAAATGTTACATGCAACTTTACTTATTCATTTTTAGACCCATTACTAGCCAACCAGTATTGTGTGTGCCAATTGGTAACTGGATATAAACCTGATATTTTATATTTAGGCATGATTGATTCCACTTCTCCATTTTTGTGGGACTATCTGGGTGTAATTGCCGTAGCATGGGCGTGAGAATTCTTGATCTCTCTCAATTCTAAAATATTTGGTTGTGTAGTATATGTGCCAATTGCGTTCCCACAGCGTACCAAAATGGGTCTTAAAAATGATTCAGTGTATTCATATATGTTGGATATGAATCTCTAACCATTATCTGGTCTTTGTACCACATAATTTACAGCTCATCACTTTGATGACAGCCTTCCTATCGTTAGGGGGAGATAGAAAAAAGTATTTTCAAAAGGAACGATATGAACTATTATGGAATGTTCCCACTTCATTTCAACTTTGATTTCTAAACTTCACAATGTAAGTTGAAGTCAAACGAATCAGACTCGATATCTGATACGTTTAATGTTATTCTAGAATTGAGAAGATCACATATACCATCTACAAAATACACCAGCAAGGTTAAAAAGTCTACAAGCAAGGACATAACGACGTTGGGAAGTGCGTTGTAATCACACATGGTGGAGATGTGTGTGAGGTCGTGGCTCCCAAAAGGAAATGGGGGAAGCTACTTGGTTCAATAGATACTCATCTAAAGGAAGAGAAGAGTAAGGCACAATCATTTATCATCAATACATAAACCTCTCATGAGATTGTCTCTGATTAAAACTATGTCTATGAATCATTACTGGATGATGCTCCAAAGTTAATATTGATTCCAAAGATCAAAGAAATCTCAAATGAACTATGAGATTGCATATGAGTTGATGGACAAATCTTACATACTCATTGATGATATATTCTCATATATTGTTGCTCATGTGATAGAGGATATGACATCGAACCATGCTCAGTTGAAGAATGTCAACAAAGAGCAAATTAGCCTAAATGGAAAGAAGCAATCCAGGTGAATTATATTATTTGACAAATAAACAGGTATTGGGTCTGGAAGTTCAAACCCACCAAGTGTAAAGCCTGTAGCTTGTAGGATATAGATAAATCATTTGTCAAAAAGTATAAGGAGAATGATTAAGTCATGATTTATAAGGATCTATTTTGGCATAAAGTTTCTCACAACATCCTGGATTGACCACGAGAATGCTTACTCTCCCATGATGGATGTTATAACATTCTACTAGTTAATTAGCCTAGTAGTTTTTGAAGGACTGGAAATGCATCTCATGGATGTGGTTACTACATATCTATATAAGGATCTAGATTAAGAGATATATTAAAGTGCTTAAAGGCATTACATTACCTAAATCAAATAACTCTAAATCAAGGAGTGCGTTTAAAATAAAATTGAAATGCTTACTTTATCTACGACCATCACATTTGTGACCTAGATTCACATGACCAACAATCTTGCTATCTATAATAGTGGTTATTCATGACCACAGAACCTTCTACCCTTGGTCAAGGATTATTTATCCACGATCATGATTACCCTTGACATAACATACTAACGAAACACTTTACTGTATATTAATTACAGCATCCGTTGTATATGGTCTTTATCAGGAATAACGGTCAGAACCAAGCATGAATAATGGAGACCAAAACGAAAGGCAAAGCTCCAAGACATTCAAGGCTAACTGTTATCCTCATTTACTCATTAAAAGTTGATCATTGGACCACACCAACGAATCACCTATAAAAGGCCAGAAGTCCTCAAAAAATACCCTCGAAATCCTCAGAATATATACACAGACAGAAATATTGAAATACTTGTTTTTATTTTCTACAACCGACGTGTCAGTTTCATTGTTATTGTTTCCAAGGATGGTGTTGTGATTGACGTCCATAATGCATCGACGATCTCACGTATCGTTCGCGGTTTTTTCTCTCATTTAAGGGTTTTTCCGCGTCACTAATTCTCTTATCTTTTTTGTTATTGCTTATTTGTTTTTAGCGTTCATTTCAAAGTAAAAGCTCCACAAACAAACATCAAACCAAAGGGTCTTTAGCCTAGCGGTATCGTTCAATCCTCACCATAGGTGAGGAGGGTGTGAGTTTATTTTTTACATTTGCCGTATATAAATATTATATACTTCAAAAAAACATCAAATTATATTTCGTGTAATTTTGGGCATAAATAATTATCAATACCTTCTACACCCTTTTCATCCCAGTTCTTGAACTAAAAATATACTCATTTGGTTTTATGTGTCTTAGAAATCCATAAAAGATAAATAAGTAATCAATCAATGTTAACTATTAAACATAAAAGGAAATATTTGTTTATAAGTGTTTACATGTGTGTGTAAAGAGAGCCAGATATATGGGACCATTTACTAGAAGTCCGACTAATCACCATTGATTACGGATTTTTGAAGGTAGACTTATAACGCTTAAAAGACCCGATCCAAAGAGCGGTTACCATATTATTAAATGATTAGCAAATATAATTTTTGATGATGAATTTTAAAATAAAAATTAAATTCATCATTATTGATGAATTATATAAAAAATATAATTTGAAATATTTAAAAATTAAAAAAGTATATATTATTAAATCGGTCTTAGAAACCAGTGTCACCAATTATTACATTTTATAGAGAGAGCGAGATCAAGGAAGGGGGACCAGTGGTAGTCTCGTAGAAAGGACAAAAACTCAATTTGTGACAAGTATAACACCCATTTGTTTAAATAGATAATAATAAAAAGACCATAAAGTGCAAGGATTAAAATGAAAATTGTGGAAACTCTTGCACCTAAGCCTAAAATATGAGACCTAGAATAAGGGGTTATGTGTTTACTTTTTAATATTTTTATTAAGAGACGGTCTCTGAATCGTTAAGAGATGAATCTTGTTTGATAAAAAAAGGTCTGTCTCTTAATGGTTCTAAAACCTCTAAATGATTTTATATCATGGATCTCCCTTAACCATTCAACGCCATAATTTCATTGTAAACAATTACCAAACAATTATATTTTATTTTACACTATATCATGAAAGCCTCTTAATCATTCTGACCACTTAATCATTCTCCACTAAACCATTCAATAACTCTCACATGCCAAATACTTCAAAGGAATAAGTAAGAGGGTAGATCATCATTATCCCCCCTCATGATAACCTACACCAAATAAGTGCACAAGGAAAGCAATAATAGAAAATATGGAGCTGCTTTGATGGTTTAATAACACAAGGAAAATGTGCATTGAGTTTTACATGAAGAATTCATTGATCAAGGTATGATTTATATGTTTAAATCATCATATTATTGTGAATTTAATAGCATGTGATGTTAAACAATTATTTAATATGTCAATGATGTTGAGAAATTAAGCAAAGATGCAACCTTTATATTGTTATATGTGAGAAAATTATATAAAGTGAGGAGGATGATAGGAGACATGACCATGACGTCAAGAATTTTAAGTGAGGAGGTTTGTAGCACTCCGTCCCACATGGATAGAAAATAAGATTTGTGAGCTCCTAAATCTTAAGTTGTTGGCTACCAACAACTTACATTATGGTTTTAAGTTGAATCTTAAGTTATAGAATCAGCTTTTTGTTCTAGGCTTTGGGTCGTTACATAAAGCGATTAAAAAACAAGGGGACATTATTTAATTGAGAAAAAGATGATTAAACGGCCGAACCAAACATATTGAACGAGAAAAAAAAAAACAAATATGAACATTAACTTTTCTAGATTATATAGTTACATGTCATAAAGTAGTCGACAAGCTAACCCATAGATAGTTGTTGGCCAGTAGAATAGATCTTAGTGAATAAACTAGTCACGTTTAGTAAAAACTAATTGACAAGTTAGATGTTGATGGCAAATAACCTACACTAAGATGTTAAAAGTTACTCGATTCTAACATAAGGGCATAATTGAGAGAAAAAAAACATAAAGCTTATAAAAGTGCAGTTAAAAATAATTTATGCCTAAACAAAGAAACTTTTCAAAATAAGCTAGGTTATGGCTTGAGGCTATATTTGGCAAACTAGCATATAAGTTGGCCATTTGCTTAAAACTTATTTGTTGACTAATAATATAGTTGTTAGCTAATTATTCGACCAGTCATGTTTGATAAACTAAATAATAATATAAATTGTCAATTATGTATAATTAAAAGGCATTTAATAAATAAATTAAAGAGTAAAATATACCCCTATTGGTAGGCTATAGTTATTTCTTACATTTTCTATCAAATATATATACTTTATTTGAAAGTAACAAAAAAAGCACATCTACTCTTCTTCCTTATTAATAGAAACTTTTTGTTACTTATGGGAGATATTGAAAAGAAAGGGGTATTCCTTTTTCCAATGAAACATTACAATGTGTATGCATTATTCAACCTAAAATATCAAACATTGTTTTGTACTTGGTTTTTTTGAGAAAAGAGAAATGTACATGAACAAAAGAAAACCAAACGGAAAAGAGGAGTCAATTATGGTGAAAGAGAATGTTGGCTTTAGGGGTTGAAGAATATTTGGGTTGAGGTTGTGGTCTGGAGAGATGTAACCTGACTCACTACTTTCCCAACCAACCCAATTACACGATCCATATATATTATGTAAACCCCGCACCTGTTTTCCAACACTTCAACTCCTTTTCGAGCATGCAGGATTGAAGTCGCCCACTCTTCAAACAACTCTATATATATTATATACCAACACTTTTTAATCTCATTTCTTTTCTTTTTCAGAAGGAAAAACAAACAAGCTTTTACCTGTTGCAAATCCATCTGTCTTGGACCAACTTATTAGGTGATCTGATACCAAAAACTCCATAAGCTGGATCCTGTCAACCACATCCCATAACAATGCATCGTGTTAAAATGTAATCAAAAGGAGTCTTGCCTTTATACGCTTCAGATTTCATACTATTTTATATATCATAACAAGATTAATAACTTACAAAACATACAGACTGCTATGCGTTTCAGGAAAAGTTGGTTCGAATGGATCAAGAAATAGCAAATTTTCTGCTAGTAAAGAGATTCTTTGAGAAACTGCAAGAATCACTCGCTGTCCAATATATGACTCACTTCCAAGCTTACGAAGCAGGTGCTGAACATGGAACTGGGCATCATTGTCAACCTGATGGCCTTCTCAAACAGAATACTTGAGTTGATCAAAAGCATTTTGGGACAGCAGTCGGTTGCAATTTGATCAAACAACCGAAAGGAGAAAAACAAATAGAAACGGGATTATAGTGTTTTTTACTCTGTTATTTCAAAAACAATACATGAGATGATAGATAATAGATAACAGCCACATCACACAAAAAGAAATTTAACATCCTGTTTAAGCGATGGAATCCAGAAAACGGTCAAGCAAAAGATAACTTCATTTCACTCAAGTAGAGAAGCTACCCTTAGGGCCAAACGGACTCAAGTGACATAATAATTTCATAAAACCATCAGTAGAGAAGCTACAAAGGTTTTACTCAAGTACAACCACGGTATCAAGGCTGGAAATCTTAGCAACCCAGGTAGAACTGATCCCCACCAATAAAAAAGCTACACACACATCACAGAGTATCCCACTCTAGCAGTGTGGCAGGCCATATCTAGTTGACCTTTTCTCTCAAATCTTCCTGTTAATATTTAAAATATAGCCTCTCGGTAGCCTTTCAGTTTTCCCAATAATCCAGAATTGCACAGCCCCAATACCACAATCAATGACCCGCAGAGAGCTCATTCCAACATAGTTTAAGGCAAATATCCGATTATTCCAGCTGTGAAACACGCTCATAGTGTCAAATTCATGAGAGAACCAGAAAACATCATATTCAACGATTAACTGTATGTAGAATCATTCTAGCTCCACTTCATGCCAAACACATTTGTATGCAAAATTCTACTGTTACATCCTTAAGTGTGCAGCAATTCCCTTTTCATTTGAAATTTCCCTTAATAATTTGTTTGGTAGAACTTGCTGCTGCAGCTATTTTTTATTTTCACCTTTTTTTCTATTCTGAAGCTTTTACGGTTGGGTGCCCATGAAACATAGATTTAGCTTAAGAGAATGATGATGATGGTATATTAAATAATCCCACTTTAGAATTTATCCCGAGGCATTTGATCCTGGTAAAACAAGTCAGATATGTTCATGCAATTATAGTATTGCCCACTGGGCAACAAAAATGATCGTCTCCATCTACCTTGGACTGGGTATTGTGTAAAATCGTAGTCAATGTAGCAGTCAGTTAGTTGAAGTACGGGTAATCCATTTTAATACCACTTACTTCATTTGTACAAGCTATCATCTTTTGATAACTAATCTAAACAATCAACAACTATAAGGACAATCATGAGCGCATTACATTATAAAAAATATTAATTCCAAAAGAGTTGTTATCATGGCAGTGAATTGGTGACAGTTCTGTTAGAGAAATAGCTACATACTTTGATGCTTAGAACTTTCACTTTATTTGACAAAAAAATCATCCACTGTTTTCATACAACAATCATCCTATGTATATATATATATATATATATATATATATGTACATATATGAAGGGACATAACCCTTCATTCAAACGACACAACTGTTCTGGACATGACAGTTATATAACTGCCAAACATATAATTAACTTTTGACCACTAACTTCTAAATGGTCAACCACCATAACTACCATGACTAGCTTAAACTTTGACACACCCCCTCAAGCTAGTAATGGTAGAACTCCCAAGCTTTCTTTCTTGACTTTGAAACTTCCAGTTTGAAGAGCCTTTGTAAAACAGTCTACAACTTGTTCCTTTGTCCCGTGAAACTCAATCTTCACTTCACCATCAGCCACAAGTTCTCGAAGAAAATGAAACTTAATCCTTATGTGCTTGCTTTTTCCATGGAATACTGGATTCTCAGATAAGGCTATTGCTGACTTATTGTCACTGAAAATAGTAGTAGGATCACCTTGTGAATGCTCCAATTCATCCAAGATTGCCCTTAGCCATAAGGCTTAACATCCAGCAATTGATAAGGACATATATTCTGCCTCACCAGAAGATAGAGCCACCACAGTTTGTTTTTTGGATTGCCAAGATATAGCTCCAGATCCCAAGTTGAAAACATAACCTGTTGTACTTCTTCCATCATCCAAATTTCCTCCACAATCACTGTCACTATAACTGATAAGCCTGAATTTTTTTGTTTTGGAATACACAATACCATGATCAAGAGTTCCTTTGACATATTTAAGAATCCTTTTCCCTGCTTCCCAATGACTTGCTTCAGGAGATTCCATGAATCTGCTGATCATACTTACTGAAAACACCATGTCTGGTCTAGTAGTAGTTAAATACATGAGGCTACCTACCAAGCTTCTATAGAGACTACGATCCACACTTCCATCCTTGCTATCCTTTGATAACTTAAGACCAAATTCCATAGGGTACTTGCAGGAGTAGATTGTCCCATATTGAATTTATCAAGTAGGCTCTGAGCATACCTTTGTTGAGAGATCTTAATCTTTTCTTCTTCTTGCTTAACTTCAAATCCCAGAAAGAAGTGAAGCAACCCCATATCATTAATATGAAATTCTCTTTTCATAGATACTTTGAATTCTTCTATCATTTCTTGTGAATTCCCTGTGAAAACCAAATCATCAACATATATGCAAACTATAAGAATCATACCTCCATCCTTTTAAGTGAAAAGAGTGTGTTCCTGTGGGCATTTCTTGAAACCATTGGCCAGAAAATAGTTTTCAATTATGCTATACCAAGCACGTGGTGCTTGTTTTAGTCCATACAAAGTTTTCTTTAAGTGGCAGACTTTGTTTTCTTCTCCTCTCTTTACATATCCTTCTGGTTGATCTATATAAACATCTTCTTCAAGATTTCCATTTAAAAAAGCTGACTTAACATCTATCTGATGTACCTTCCAATTGTTTTGAGCAGCAAGGCAAGGACTAATCGCACAATTTCCAATCTTATGACTGGAGCAAAAACTTCTTGATAATCAATACCATGCTTTTGTTTATAACCTTTGACCACTACCCTTGCTTTGTATATGTCTATTTCTCCTTTCTTATTCAACTTCGTCTTGTATATCCACTTAACTCCAATTGGTTTGTTATCATTTGGAAGATTGACAAGTTCCCAGGTGTCATTCTTCATGATAGCTTCTATCTCCTTATCCATAGCATCCCTCCACTTCTTTTCTTGACAAGCTTCCTCATAAGATGTAGGATCTGCATCAGATAATAATGCAAAATCTGCAACATCATTGAACTCTAGTCTCCTTGTGTTTTCATAAATGTCCCTTAAGCTTCTGAGTCCTCTCTTTGGTGGAGTTTCTGGAGTAGACATTGAGGAATTTGTGCCTTGAGAAAATTGGATGTTAACAAGAGTTATGGGAAAATTGTTTGTTGGTGGGGTCATACTATGATCTTGGTTCAAATTTGCCTCCTTCTGAACTTCTGTATCATCAACGATCTGAGTAGTGTTGCCTTCTTGTCTTGGTGAGTCATTCCAAGCCTTTCCTTCTTCAAATACTACATCTCTACTTATAATAGTCTTCTTGGTAATCGGATTGTATTGTTTATAGGCTTTTGACCTTTCACTGTACCCGACAAAGATGGTTTATTCTGACTTGTCATCTAACTTGCTTCTTTTCTGTTCTGGTATATGAGAGTAAGCTATGCAACGAAAAATCCTGAGATGAGCAACTGTGGGTTCGTAGCCACTTCAGGCCTCCTATGGTGTCATGTTGGAGAGGCTTTTTGTAGAAGTTCTATTCATTAAATAGCATGCACATGCTACTGCCTCTCCAGAAAGAATTACTCAAGTTTTCGCCTTTTAACATGCTTCTAGCTTTCTCAATTATGGTCCTATTTAACCTTTCTACGGTATATCTGGTAGTAACTTGATGATGAATTTCATTTTCTGTTAGGAATTCCAAGAAGTAGCATTGTATTCGCCACCACCATCTGATCTAATAGCTTTAATCTGATGACCACTTTTTTTTTCAACAAAACTCTTGAATGTCATGAAGGTATTCAAAACTTCTGACTTTTCTTTCACAAAATATACCCATGGTTTTCTACTAATATTATCTATAAAAAGTGATTAGATACCTGTTTCCAGCAATAGAGGGGGTTTTCATAGGTCCACATACATCTGTGTGGATGAGTGCAAGTGGCTTGGTAGCCCTCCAAGCTTTCTCTTGAAGAAAAGAATCCCTTGTTTGTTTCCCAAGCATACATCCCTCACAAGTTTCTTCTACATTACTGATATTGGGTATTCCTCTTACCAAATTGTGTTTGTACATGTAACTAAGATGGCCAAGGTTAGCATGACCAAATCTGTAATGCCATAGAAGAGAATTTTGTTCTGTAGACAAATTAAAAGAGAATTAGAGTGTCTCCCTTGAAACTGAAAGGGAACATCGTGTTTGTTGTCATGTTGATCTTGCGAAGTGTATTTCCATTAGGATCTTTTATCTCACATGTCTCTTCTTTGAAATGAAGATCATAACCTTTGTGCAAAAGTTGTCCAACACTAAATTATGTTTCAATCCAGGGACAAAATAAACATTTGGTATTTTCTTTTGTCCAATTTTAATATCAACCATGACTTCGCCTATTCCTTGTACATCTAACCTCTTGTCATCTCCTGTTCTTACTTCCCTTTTTTGAGTTTCATCAATTTGGACAAAAATGCCCTTATTTCCAGTCATATGATTGCTACACCCACTGTCAACATACCATGCATCATTGAAAGATACTTCCTGAGTGCTAAGGATCATGAACATAGTGTCACCCTCATTTCCTTCTTCCGTATGAATGAAAGTAGAGTCCCTTTCTTCTGCTATTCTTTTTCTGCAATACTTAGCAATGTGACCAAATTTCTGACAGTGGTAACATTGCACCTGTGATGAAGGTTTCCCTCTGCCTCTTCCTTTGTTCTCACCTTGTTCTTCCTTTTCAGATTCTTTGTTCTTTTCTTGTGAGTTTGAGGATTGCAATTGAAAAGTTTGTTCAAAGGGTGTGGAATCAAACTGCCTCATTTTGAGTTCATGAGACTGCAAGGTTCCAAGTAAGCTTTCAAGAGAGAGAGTTGAAAGATCTTTAAATTCCTCAATTGCTACCACAATGCT